TTTTAAAATTATGGCATTTTTCTGCGAACTCTTTGACTCTCTCCCTCGTATTAGGGTAAACAGTCATCTTATACGCACTTTAACTTCATGACTTCTGGCTTGTGCGATAGACTTACCTCCACGTGGTGCACCCTGGGCAACGTATACTCGTACGGCAAAAAGTCTATAAACCGGCAGTTGACTCCACACTTTAAACTACCATCACCCCACTGTATGTCATATTCGTCCCCTGCCACAATACTCAGCTGACCTTTCCTCTACCTTTGTGTCTGTCTGACTCTTTCACATCTGTGAATCACTCTTCTCTCCTCCCTCTACACTTGTTGTGGCTTTGATGATCCTCCCCTCAGTGAAGTACGAAGTCGACTAAAGGGATAATGATAACCATCAAAACGCCTGCCATTTGATATAAATAAACTTCATGACTTCTAAATAGACCGGGGCGCGCGGTATGACCAAATTACTGATGTTCGGGTTAATGAAAGTTATGCAATTTTCTATCTCAGCAAAGCAGCTAAATTTGGATGTAACCAAATTATCTATTTAGGTGTAAAAGAGTGGAGACTGGAGTGGAAGCAGTATCCAAAAACCCTTCTTTCAATTTTTTCAGATTGTATACTATTTGCTCAATAGGCATGTATCGAAATCGAAATTTTATTACTTGACCTAGTGGACTGCAAATTAATTTCATGCCCTCGACGTCTAGTAATTATTGGTAGTTACATGAATTTAAACAGTCATTATTTAGGGGATTAACTGCGTGAACACAGTTTTTAGGAGCTTTTCTTAGCCTTCATTTTTTGGGTATCTCGCCTCTTAATTGTGCCCCTAAATGTTGCGTAACACCATTTTGTCGTCTCGATCAATAAGTACTGTGAGTTGCAGCAACAAATTTTAATTGACTAAATTGTTGCGCTGTTTTTTGCTTCTTTAGGAGGTCATATACTGCAACGCCTGAGGCACTTAAATCCATTTACGAATTGTTCGGTGGTACCTTCTCTCTTCCCCACAACTTTGAAAGAACTGCTCCGATTTACAAACCCGGTGATAAAGTATTGAAAAAACAAGAGTTAGTTGCACAATCTCAAGCCGATTCACGTCAACAAAAGCAGGCCTTCTTCTCAAATCCCCAGACGGAATTGTTGTGCGCTATGCTTGAATTGACAAATCCCAATGCAGGTAAGATGATTAGACTGTCATACTCATTCGTCTTTATTATTATTTCTCATTCATTGTAATGCAGTTCTCTTGGGACAGGCTTCATATAACCTCTCGGAAATGGCCAATATGCTTGTGGAACGGGGTGAACTTGATGAGGATGATGATAATGATGGATGTGGAGTTGAACCGAGTCCTGCCAAATTAGCTCGAGTGGACTCCAATCCCGAGGAGATTAACCTCGATGACTTGGATGTAGATGATGAGGAAGAAAATGCTAACAATGGTGGTATCGTCGAAGGCTATGAACCGGGAGTTGTTCCAGTTAATGACGTTGATTATAATCCGCAATATCTTGCAGGTTGTGAACTTCCAAGTGCTTCTGAATACTATCCTGAGGGGGCTACGGTTAGTGCCATCGAAGTCCAATACAGCCCTAATCCCATCTATACTTCTGAAGTATCTTTGACAGAAGGAAATGAGTACAATCCCGAACCGCTTGTGAAAAATCCTGAAGTGATCGATATTGACAATCTGATTGATGATGATGACGACGAGGCATCTGCAGACAATGGACCTCAGGAGGAATATGAGCCTGGAGGAGTTAAACTTGAGGTCTCATATAATCCGCAGCCTTTTATTGAGGAGGATGAACAACCGACGAAACAGGAAGATGCGGGACAAGATGAGGGTCTGACAGTCTAATCTAGATGTACATTACCCTGTGTACAGATTTGGTTTTGTGTAAATAGTTTTTTGGTCTTGGTCTTGTTCGTTTAATCTGAATCTTTGTACCTCTTTTGTATTTTTTGATTTTGCCGTGAAACTTGACAAACTATGTATCAATTTCTCTTTCCAGGGTTGGGTATACATATGTATAATATGTTGAAATAAGAATCCAGTTTGCGGCTTTATTCTTTCAGAACCTGATCTTAAGTTGGCTGTGGTTTATAAATTAGCTTGTAGACTTAATGAACTATAACTCTCCACTGATTGAGATAGTAACTGAACTGAGTTAGTTACAGATGAGTGTGAAGGCTAACTAGCGAAGGTATGGTTAGTTAATGGAGCAAAGCCAAAGTGGGGGGCGTCACGTAATGCGGGAGATCGACAAAATGCTAAAAGGCCGTAAATGGTTCATAAAATGAACTAACTAGAGCAATGTATTAAATCTGGAAGCAAAACGAGGCTACACTTAGTAACCTTGACGTACGCTAAGCAGTCCCTGTAGCATGTTCTCCCAGCTGGGAAGGTTTACCGGATTTAAACTATCGCAATAATTTAAATGACCGAAGCGTATTGCGAATAAATCGTAAATTAAATTATGATCTTAGCAAATGTGGTCAATGGTGGATTACACCTAACATAGATTGAAAGAGCATTAATGGCTAACTAACGGAGAAGTCTTCTCGCGTATGTCCACACACTCAAGAATGTTAGGTTGTGCAGGACTGCGTACTCCTCAAGTAAATCACCATATTTCGTTCTGTCCCTTGGATTGTCACAATCCTCTCTTGGCTTTTCATCCTAAAATGATTGATTTTAAGCATAAAATGACGTTCCAAAGCAGAATATATGAACTTTTAGTAATTATATGTACGACGTGAGTTTTTTAGAAGTCTATTCATATTCTTAATAAGTACGAATTTAAAATGACAATAATATCAAAAATGAAAAGTAATCTATAATCGGTTAAATTTACTAACATTTATTTAAGATTCTCTTCTACAATAAAGTATTCCATCCTTTCCCATTCCGATCATAAATAAAAACGGTTTGCTAGGCAAATAGAAATTTGTTTCCGATATATTATAATTTTATATAACTAGCCGATTTTGCTTTTTGAGTAACGAAAATTCAGGTTTTATTAAACAAGCAGTTGTTGTTTAACCCTCTCACAATCAAGCGCAGATTTATCTCGCGCAATGCGGACTTGTTGGTTCTGCTTCTTCTTGTCTCTGATCTTCAGTTGCGCATTTGCTCAGAAGTTGCGTCCAATTTTCGCTGTTAATTGTGGTGGTTCTGCACATACGGATGTAAATGGAGTTCACTATCAAGCAGACACCAACAAAGTTGGCATTGCTTCTTCTCATGGCATGAATTTAGTTTTACGTCGAACCCCCGAACCGGATGCCATTTTGTATCAGACTGAACGCTACGACACTTCCTCATTCAGTTATGAATTTCCAATGCCCAAGGATGGTGAATATGTTTTGCATTTAAAATTCTCCGAGGTTTGGTTTAAACAACCTGAAGGAAAGGTAAGTATATATTCTTTTAAATATCTATAAGAATTAATGGTTTATTATCGTTGCATTTTAAATATAGGTGTTCTCCGTTGAACTTAATGGCGGTTTAACGGTGATTGAGGATCTTGATATTTATAGCACAGTTGGTTTTTCTGTTGCTCATGACGAAAATATCCCGCTTAAAATCAAAAATGGATATCTTATAGCCCCAAAGGGGTCAGTCCAACTTAATGACGGCGAAAAATTACAAATTAATATCGTTAAGGTATGCTCATTTTTGGGATTAATTCCCTTTATTCATGAATTTATCGTGTTTAACGTTAAGTCGTGTTTTAGGGTCCTCGCGACAATCCAAAGGTCAACGCAATCGCTCTATTTGCAAATTCTCTCGAGGGTACGTGGAATCCGGGTAGATAGTTAATGTATACTTTTTATAGATATTCCAAAGTTGCCACCTATAAGATTCTTATCAAGTGTCGAGGATAGGCTATCAGAATTTCAGGAATCCCAGCAAGACGACCCGAGGTTTTCAAGGTCGTCTAAACGGTCTCATGTTCCTCCTGCTATTGAAAGGCCTCCTGCTCCCGATCCGTATGCCTCAGCTGACTATTCCACCTACATGCTTCCCGCAGTTATTGCCGTTGCCACATTCATTCCGTTTGTTCTTTGTTTGTATAGAATGTAATATGTGTTAACTTGCCATTGCTCATAACTTTCTTCAATTGATGTGTATAGTACCATATTTCTTCTGCGATCGTTCCTTTGTTTTCAGAATATAGTTATGCTTTTTCAGTGTTTGATTTATGCTTTGATCTCTTTTTGGTAGTATATTCATCGGGGTATTGGTGAATTTAATCCCGAGTGTAAGGGAAGTCAGTAATACCAATTGATTTATTAAATAAAAATGAGCTTTGAGGGCTTTTAATTTCTGATGTAGTATGAACTGGCATCGATTAAAATTAAGAAGTTTTGAATTCGATTGGATTGATTACAAACCGTCAATTTAATTTGATAGCCAATAACGTCTTGGCGTTGAGCAGATTATTTAATTCAGGCACTTATGAGTTAACTCCTAGAATTTGAGTTTAGGAGCATGGTCAAATTGATATAAAGAATGAGCCCCCATTTTGACAAAGAAATGAGAGATCTACGATTTCAGGGAGAGTGAAGTTACCCCTTCACCTTGGCACGTAATTCACACCTCGTTTTTGCAACTTATAAATGCACATGTCTGCAAATGAATTTCATGCTTGCTTGAACTCTGAAAGGTGTGATGTGCTTCTTGTCCCGTGGGAGCAAGTGCGGAAACCTCTCAGCAGTTTGCCTATCAAAAGCTACTGTTACGTAACGAAGTCCTAATTCAACTTAATAACCAAGTCTTGTGACGTATTGCCTTGTTTATGATAGAGGATATTCATGTTTTCTCGATACTCTTGATGTAGGTGGAGACGATGCTTGAAGCCTAGTTTGTGTAGTATCCTCTGCGGATCTACTTAGCGTACCATAATTTGTCATTTTTATCACAAACTCAATTCCATTTGTTATTTCTCCGTTTCTTCAACTCACCAACGGTTGCCCACTATCTTCATTTTTTCCTATTCTCTTTACTTGTCCAATGAAGCCAGATTCTCACCCGATTCGATCGGTCTCCAAAATTAGTTATACTGACAGAATTTAGGTCCTGAGATTTAATCAATGTTGACACTAGTTGCCTTGACGACTGGAGTACATTTCACTGAATATTTCTTGGCGGGCAATAGTTACATATTTCAATATAGGAAAATTGAAGGAAACTGTTCATCCAAAATTTGAGGGAACTAAAACTTCCCTGGTGACACTATACAAAGCAGCATTCGTATGTTTCCTTCAGATGTATTAAAGGTATTCACGCATACACACACACACACACATGCTGCTTTGTCATCAAACTTAAAACTTCATTTCATATGTGCTATGAGAAAGAGAATATTTGATTATCAGAAACCACATAAATCATTTGTGAGAATAATTCCTATCACGATTATTCATACCGACCATTATAAATAAGCCGAAGATGGTGCACAATTCTCAATCAACACAGTGCAAGGAATCCGGTAGAAGAAGGAAACATAGACGAAAACCTACACCAGAAAAGGTGTTGATCATCTTCGTTGGCAAACTTACTTAAGCGCTTCAACTTATACCATGAAGCTTGCACTCAGTGAAGATTTTTGACTCTACAAACTACTCAAACATCGCAGGAGTCGACTTCTCACAACTTGATCAAGAAAATGATTTGGCAAAGGCGAGGAAACTTCGGAGACATTGTGAAGCATTCTGTTGAAGTACAAATGATGCGACTCTTTTCCACTGAGGTAACGTTGTGCCAAGATGAGGACCACAACACGCAGAATAAGAACAGACTTGGCTTACCTACAGGCCAAAGGACATACTTCGAGTAATGCAGACTACATTTCAACAGTTTTTCATGCTTCACGGATAAGTGTCCTCCTTCGCATCATGAGATGACATGTGATGACGTGTAGTGCTTAATGACGGGATGATTAATTTTTACAACGGTAGAGGAGACAGTATGATCCGATATGCACCCAATAACACAGTGGAGGTGATTAGACTCAACTCAAATTAAGACTATTTATAAATATGCGGGCCTATTATAGGCCATTTCATTACTAAAAATTGACACTCGATTTGCAATTATTTCCAAAGACATGGTCGGAAGCATTATTTTAGGGAATTTCAAGAATGACTTTGGGAAATACCCAATGCAATCCAAAACTGAAAACAAGTCCATTGAGAATTGCTTTCAAGAAAAAAACTGACTTTCGGTGACTTAAATTAGAAATGTCTATTCGAATAAGAGCGCGTCATCTTCATATACAAGACAACAGACAGAAGATATTTAATCAAGACTGGTGATTCTGGGTCATATCGGCTGAAGTCAGAAAGGTAGGAAATGGGAATACTCATTGGATAAACGTTCTACCTTCCTCAGTTATTGCTTACTTCAACGCACATATACACATGTACTGGACGCATGGGGACAGAACAATGGGATACAAATAAAAATCGCTAGAAATGAGAGGGTTTCGAATGGGATATCGATGCGATAGTAATTAACTAAACTTGGTGTCATCGTCTAGCGGGCTATACCTCGGAAATGATGAGGAGATGTCAAAGGTTAGATTAATTTTAGCACCGGCGTTCGAATATTAGAGCAGTACTTGGGCCTATTAAGGTCTTTCTCCTAGAAATCAACCGTGAACACATGACGCAATCTTTTGTCTCGAATTCTCCGTCAATCATTAAGTTGTGAACTCTCAGACACTAAGCCCCTCTCTTTGTACCGCCCATTTTGCTCTGATTTAGTGCCGTTTAGTTCGTTCTTGCCCTTCACAATGTGCTTTAATGTCTTTACTTTGAATTTTAAATCAAATTCTCTTCTTAGCAATTATTTGCACTTCAGGGTAATTTCACTTAAAGTAGAACCTACTGTTGTTACCTCAAATGAGGTAAAAGTTCTACTACTTTTATTGGGGTGAAAACGTGTTGCAGATTGGTTAGCCAATGGGCTTTCTCTATTGGTGAAAATATCTTTTTAGGCACCGTATCTTTCTACAGGTGGAAAAGCTGCATTTGTTAAAACAAACCTAAAGTTCGGGAACTAGTTGAGATAACTCGCGCGTTGGCTCCACAAACTCATTAAAAGTTAACTACTTGGTAAATAGAATATGTTCAGGATATAATCCAGTTAAAATATCATACTAAAACCAGGATGCAATAGTTTGCTTCTCCATCTATCTACATTCAAGCTCAGTAACTGTGGTGAGGCAATAGCATCAACATTCTGATGCGCTTTTAAAATTGAAGAACTGCTATATATGAACTCGAATGCAACCAAAGGTGCATAGGTCGAAGACCGAAATATGATACAAATTAATCTGCTAGAAGGACGATAAATATGATTATTTACACCAATTACACATTTCTTTACCATTACGGCAATGCACACATCAAACAGTAATTAGATTATCTAATCAGCCCAACACCCACCCCTCTCCCCCCTCCTCCCCCCTATCAAAGATAAGGGCTGCGAGTATATACAGAAGTTTTGCTAAGGCTACAGTACAAATCATTGCCCTCTAAGGATAGAAACGACGTTTGTACGATGCATAGTCCCAAGGAACGCCAGTTCTACAATGATAGGGCTCATAAATGTCCTCCGGATAATATTTCGGCTTTCGCCAATCCTTGTTCAGCATGTTGTCAAGAGCGAAACTCATTGCTCTGCTGGTTAGTATGTGTTCATCCATCTTGGCCACAACGTGGGGTCTCTTTCTAATGGTGGAAAAAAGAAAGTGATGAAACGGAACTATCATTAAAAAAAAACACACACATAAATGTAATAAGTCTTACGTCTAATTGGTAATAAAAAGGTAATAAAATTAATTTCGTGTTTGCTGAAACCTCATTATTACGCTCTTTTGGCTGCAAAATTGGGTAATAAATGATGGAGAATCTGTTGTGACCAATAGAATGAGCCAGCATTCTTACTGTTTAATAGGTATAGGAAATATTGATTGACCAGAACTACAAAAAGGTAGCCAATTTTACTACGTTTTCTCAAAACGAATGACTGATACCACCATCCAGCCTTTTCTATTCTGCTCTTTGGAATACATTGCCTAGCTATTCACCCCCGTCTAGACGTTTAAGGGCATCAATAGAAATTGAACTCACTAAAATTAGTGTTGAACCGTCTAAATGTACTTACTTGATTCATACGTTGTTGGCTAGGTGCATAGTTAACAAAAAATATCGCGAGTATTCAAAGCAACAAACTCGAGGGATAGACACAACCTCATTTTTGAGTCCTCATTGAGTGAAGCAGGGGTGGACCCCCAACCGCCCGATGGATCTCCCATGCAGCATTATATCTGCTAGTATGATGAACCTTCCCTCTGTGAAGCCCGAAGTCAGCTAAATGCCTAATGATAGGTATCAAAAAACACCTGCCATTTGAAATAAACCTAATGATAGGTATCAAAAAACACCTGCCATTTGAAATAAATATTACCTTATGACACTCCTGACTGCTAAATGTAATCCAACTTTTCAGCTACCACTTGCACTCAACAGTATGAATTAAAATAGTTGAGAAGAAATTCACATAAAGAACCTGATCTAACCTCAAATGACCTCGATTGAAAGAAAAGGGGTCAAAACAAGTCAACCAAAAACGCAGACTTTTAACTTCATGTAGAAAATGAGTGTGAAACGAGGGCGATAACATATAGGATGAATCTGAAGGAAACTCAATCACAAAAAAGTATTCGCAGATTACCAAATCACACGTTATATAGTAGAGCACACACACACACACGTTGCACCAATTTACTTGCCTCGAGTGGCAGCAGCTTCATACTGAAACTAGTTAATCCCTCAATGGTCATGGGGTGTGCGATAGACTTACCTCCACGTGGTGCACCCTGGGCAACGTATACTCATACGGCAAAAAAGTCTATTAACCGGCAGTTGACTTCTCACTTCAAACTACCATCACCTCACTCTATGCCATATTCGAATATTTTCACAGTACTCACCTCACCTTTGTTCTACATTTGTGTTTGTCTCTTACATCTTTGGAACACTCTTCTGTTCCCCCCCCCCCTCCCCTCTGTGAAGCCTGAAGTCAAGTAAAGGGCTAATGATAACCATCAAGATGCCTGCCATTTGATATAAATAAATAAATCCCCCAACAGAGAGCTGTTAAAACTGCACAACCCCCATAGCAGACATTGGCACCAACTGCAGTGACATACCGGTAAAGATGCTTTCTTCGACCAGCTCTGGGATGAATGTACGCACCCCAACGAAGTCTCTTAAAGCGATCGATAACGACTTGAACAGGCGGATCGGCAGTACCATCCTCGACGTAGTAACGTTTGGCCTCCTGTCGCTGAACTCCGCGAATGGGTTGAGCTATCACAGGAGTAGTTCTATAAAGTGGAAATATTAAAAAATTAAAACAAACCAAATGAACCAATGAACTGTTCACTATTTAGAAGAAAAAATGAT